CTGGGCACATGAAACACTGCCATGGACGGCTCTCACTTCCGTGTCAGCGTTGTTCTTCATCTCTGCTCCATCAGATCTGGTGCTGCTGAACTTCTAGATCCGTAACGTCAGCGGCTCTGAGTTGCTGCTGTTTGCTGTCTAATTCCAGATTTTTATTAAATGAGGTGACACAGACTTGTAATTAAAAGCGATCTGTTATCTGCTGAGGCTGCTCAGGCTTTCAGGTGGTCAGTTACTCAGACTGAGAAGCATCACGTTCCTGTGTGGAGCAGACCACCACTAATCCCTCTGCTCCCACAGACATGCTTCCAGAGGAAGAACAAACACAGGATTGTATCATCCTCTGGTCTCACCTGCGTACCTGACTCATCTGCATCACTAAGCAGTGGAAAGCTAACGGTCTTCATTTATCAACACAACTTTGGAGGATAAAAGGAGTATGCAATCCATGTTCAGGGTGGGCAGAGTCAGCACCTGGACGGCCCCCCGGCTCCTTTTTAATTTTACATCTGTCTGACAATGCTGGATGACTCTTATTTTGAAAGTCACTGGAAAGTGCTGGCCAGTGAGCCTGGACCCGTCCTGTCTCAGGTGCCTCAGTGGTAGCTTATCAGGCCGGTGGCCCAGAGTGAGGTTCTGCCAATGTGAAGGTTATGGTTTTATTTTTTATTTAACCAGGAAAAACACACTTGAGATTTAAAATCTCTTTTAAAAGCACGTCCTGTGTTCAGCAGTGCAGTCATAAGCTAGCAGCACTTACAGTAGTTAAAATAAAAGAAACAACCATAACTTAGAAACTCCATGTCAACAAAGAATGATTATCTTAGTAAAAGTAAGCATCTAGTGCCATAAATGAAGCTGATAATATTCAGGTATTCAAGTCCTTTAAAGCTGCCTGAAGTGGAGCAGCTCCTTCAGATACTCCTGCAGCTGACTCCAGGAGGAAGGAGCTGCAGGCTCGGTGTGAAACTGTGCTCAGGCTGACAACACAGCCCTGCAGACAGCTTCTCACTGTTGTCTCTTTATTGTTTTTGAAGGAAAAAGTGATGATTGCACACTGGTGAGTGCTGTTGTCCCAGCAGCGGTGAGCGTGCGCGGCGCACTGACCTTGCACAGGGCCTCCCCCAGCACCCAACGATCCATCAGCGTGTAGATGACGGTAACGGGCAGGCACACGATGCACATAAGGATGTCGGAGCACGACAGGTTGGCAATCAGGATGTTGGTGACGTTGCGCAACTCCTGTTGCCGGGCAATGATGAACACCAGACCTGCGTTGCCTAGCAACCCGATGGCAATGACAGCGCTGTACGCCACGATGAGGAATGTTGCCCCGCCTACTGAGGGAGGGCACTGAGAGGTGTCTGCCCAATCGGAGGCCTCCCAGACGTGGAGGACGCCGCTGTCGTTGGACATGGCAGGGAGGGAGAGGAGGAGGAAGTAGGGAGCGGGCAACCCAGCGGCGGAGACTCAACTTCCCACAATAAAGAGGATCAGAACACAATGAGGGGCGAGGAGGAAGAGGAGGAGGAGGAGGAGGAGAACAGCACCCAGCTAC